AGTTCTGCAGCGCAGGTAGTCCTCGATCAGCCTCAACAGATATGCTGGTACGCGGAAGCTGTTCATCAACGCGCTCAACATATCGACCAATTTTGCCGAGTTAAAAGCATTCTTGACACAGAAAAGAACCTTCCATTTAAGTTAGAAGATTTTTATGAGAATAAAATTGAATTAAACAGTAATAATTCATCACAAGTTTGAATGAACCAGCAGGTCAAGAATCACATCGATCTTCATTTACCTCTATATCCTTAAATGAAGCACATGATATATCAGTCAACAACCAACCATTGAAAGTCATTGGAAAAATAACTAATTGTGTACAGACTCAGACAGACAACAGCTATAATACCATGATCACAACGGAGCTTCTTAGAACTCAATGGCTTTGGGATACAACCCTTCAAAAGTATTTTGACGTATTAAATAATCGTTTCTTATCATCTAAAGAAAAGTCATGGTTTATTATCAATCCTCTTATATGCCATGCTATCAAGAACTTAGATGACTATTTGCATTTTTTGGATTCATTAAAAATAAAGGATTTTGAAACCGTCATAATGCCTATTAATGACTCAAAGCAGCTTGATGGTGTGAGCGGCTCACATTGGAGTACCCTTGTGTACACAATGGATAATAACAGGTTTCACTATTATGACTCGCTGGATAACCACAACATCAATGTTGCTAAAGTTGTTGCAAGTAAGATATCAACTTATCTGAAGGCACCAGGCTATGAATTTAATGGGCCCAAACAAGTCAACACGTATGATTTTAAACCTACTTTCTAAACTGCTAACTGTAAACCAGAAAGAACTTATAACCATTAGATCTCAATTAGCATACATTCTAAAAAACAGTGTATTCCTGACAAACGATGATATGTCAACTAAAAGTATTTCACCTAAAAGTACAATCGAATGCCCCAAAAGTGATAAAATCAAAGAGTGTAATGCACACTGGACAAGAGTGAAGCACAGAAAACCAGGCAGCTCATCGGTGATTCAACCTCAGCAGCATGACAGCCAGAAAACCTCAACCAGAAAACCTAGCATTATACCTTCTGTATCCAATAGTCAATGATTATACTAAGCAACCGTTTCACAGTACTGGATCAAGCGAATGATAGTCTTACTTATAATGAGGAACATCATCATGTCCATATGAATAAAAATAAGAAACAGAAAAATATTGCAAAAATGCCACATGTATCAAATCATATAAAAACAAGAGTTACCATCTCTGCACTGACAGCCAAGGGAAAAATATGGCCTGGAAAGTCGATGAGCTTAGTGAAGGAAAAGTAAATGCATTTGGTTATGTAAGACCAAACACGACTCTAATACAAGTTCTTGACTCAGCAAACATAAATAGTGATAACAACCCAGTGCTGCTTCTTGGAGGTACTAATGACAGCTTGAATGGGGATTTCATAGCTATTTATGAAAACTTAGAAAACAAACTAAAAATACTAAGTGAAAAAAACCAGTATTCTTGTGTACGATCCCGACAAGATATGATAAGAGCCTACACCACAAAGAAAACCAAGAAATAAAAATGGCAAATAGCTATATAAAAGAACTTGTTTTAAGAATCAAAAAAGTAGTTTTAATTAACCTTAACCATCTGAAGAGGATTCATTATACTACTCACAGATTACATCTAAACAAACACTCTTGGTACAACTGAAATAGTTCGAATATTTCTGAAAGCTATTACTAGGTGGAAAACCCAAGATATGGAACACCAATACAAATCATTTCAACCCCCTATCAGAATAATTGAAACAAATATGAAGAATGAAATCAATAAATGTAAAAATCAAGAAAAAACTGCGTTCGCTCATTGCATATAGGGTGATTTTGGAGCTGATAGGCAAATGACCGCGGGAGTAGCAGTGACTTTCAAGCAGCAGTTTGGGAAACCCCTTCAATCTGACCGAGTTACAAACCACCTTGCATACCAACAAGTCCCAGATGGAGCTGGAGTCTATGCACTTATCACCAAGGATAAATACAACAGCAAACCTACAGTTCCTGACTACAACACAGCATTCCAGGACTTGATCAGTGACTTCAAGCAAAGAGGTTTTGAAAAATTGATTTGCTCTGTCATGGGGTAATACATTTAATCCTTGACTGCTAATTACACAATATTTAGTGGCTTTTCACTATTGACGTTTCTTGTTTGTTTTGTTTATTCTCTTGTCTCTGAGTAATCATAGTATATACTTGTTAGGTGCGTTTTGTTGTTCTGCTAAACAGTTATTTAATAGGAATCAACTGATTTAACTTCACTGTTTTAAATGACTTAATCTTGTATTTGTATATTTTGTTAATCACTGTTCTATCGTCAAATTACTTATTTAGTTAATTGAACTTAAGTAGTTTATGAGCACACTTTATGTATGTTGTACTACCGATCACTGAGATCATAACATGCGGTGAGCGTAGCTGATTTCCGTTCATAGCCCTCTAGGTCAGCTGTTTCAGATAGTCAGCTGTTAGTACAAAGCCAAACGGTGTTCATTGTGGAACATCCGGAACCGACTCAAAATACGGCATTCCATTTAAAAGCCGTACAGCTCTATAAATCCTCTGATATTTTATTTTCACTCATCTAAATATTCGTTTGACAGCTCTTGAACACAAATAGTGTCCACTTAACAATGTTGAATAGTTGTTAATTTTTCATTTATGTTTTCTATTTGTCATTGATTGTACATAAAAGAGGCTAGAGTAAAACATTTTTTATAGGCTAACCACTGTGTATAAATATGTTTGAATACAAAACAAACCATTAGATTAATACATTTATCCACTATTGTTAATGAATTGTTTAAACTAATGTTTCTTTGTTAACAACATTGCTTAGCATTTCTTCATGTTTAATGCTTATTATAACTTTTTTTCTTTTATGGTTTCATCATTGTAGATTTTTGTTGAACTTATTGTAAGGTAATTCATAGCCTAAACAATGCCTGGTCCAATCAAGTTTTCCATTTATGAACGCTCCACTGCTTTAATCAAAGCAAGGTTTGAGAAAATTCTCACTGCAGTAGAAGCTGTAGCTAATCTATTAACCTCTTTGACTCTAGAGTACACAAAAATGTGAGTGTGTCTAATGTGGCCAAATTTCAGTACCTTTTAAGCGTTGTGTCGGGAGAACCCCTCAGCTTAATTAAATCCCTTAACATCACCACTGCGAACTACTTAGTTGCATATCAACTACTTTGTGACCGCTATCACAACACAAGGCGGCTCACCACACTGCATTTAAACCAGATAATGGACCTGCCAAACATTACCTCTGGTTCTCTCCATCAACTAAGGGGATTCATCAACTTGTTCTATGAACATAGTGAGGCCCTTAAAGCCCTTGATTGTGATGTCTCATCTAACTCTAACCCTTTACTGTCAGCATTGATATTGCGTAAAATAGACTCGGACCTTCGCAAAAAACTTGAAGCTTATAGGTCTACTCAAGACCATGAAGCACATACTCTGCCGGAAGTGACTGAAATTATAAAATTCCTCAATATCAAATGTGATCAAGTAGAAGACGCTGGTTTGCACCTAACTCACTCTTCTCTAAAGACTAATTGTGGTCAGCCCTCTAAATTCAAAGGCATATAGTCGGTCAAATTCTCCTCTGACCGTCCCAGCAAGACTGTGGCTATGCTTACCACTCACAAGACGCAATCGTCTACCTCTTGTTTTGACTGTGGTAAACCAGACCACAAAATTTATGTTTGCCCTACCTTTAAGGGTAAAACCCCTCAACGACGATATCAAATCGTAAAAAAAGAGAACAGATGCATCTCTTGTCTCGGATACCATGATAGCAAATTATGCAAATCTCAGGCTACTTGCTACATTTAAAAGACACCATAGCCTGTTGCACGCGCACTTTCAACAACCCTCAGCTGACGTCAAACATCATAAGGTACCTAAAGACAATCTCTCTCCCGTTAAGGTAGCTACAGCCATGACTTCTCAATCTAAGTACAGTTGCGAATCCACTGTGCTCCTAGGTACTTTGTTAGTACAATAATTGACCTCCCCTCAAGGTACTACTCACGTCTTCCGGGCTCTCTTAGACTCGGGAAGTATGTGTAATTTTATTTCTGAGCGTGCTGCTCAATTGCTGGGTGTCAAACGCACACATTCCTCTGTTCAAATAACAGGTATCGCTCAAACAGCTACCTCTACCCGAGGACTGACACACTTGACTCTAACCACTCTCTCAGGCCTCACCATGGTAACTCAGCACCCCTTCCTCATTTTAGATAGGATTTCTATGGATTTACCCAGAGCAAAACTGACCCCGGAAGTGTTCCACAAAGCCAAAGCCTACACACTAGCTGACCCTACGTTCCACTTACCTAATGTCGGTCTAAAATAATTGTGCGGTTGGAATTCAACATATGATTTAGATTTCCCTATCATGGGAAATCTCACACTCATTTACCCTTTTCTACACTGAAATCCCCCTAAAAATAATCTGTTTTATATTGCAGACAGTGTTTTAGGAAGCTTTTGTTTATATTATGATTGAACTACCACAGAATAAAACTGGAAGATTTATTTTTATTGTGTTTTTTAGTTTGGATTGTAATATCTTGGCACCTTTTGGCCATTTCTGATTAACCATAAAGTAAACTCAGACTGAATAATATGATAATATTAAACTGCACAAAATACCATCAGAATAATCACAATGTTATTCAAACCACTAAAATGTAAACATAGTGACACCTGTTGTAAAATTATAAACAGTATGAACCAGCTGTAAGGCTATTATGTGGTGATGACAGGGGCCAGGGAGAAAGCAGGGGAAAACAAATTTGTGATTCAACCGCACATTAAATTCAGACAGAGTATAGTAGTGTAGATGTTCTGTTAGGTGGAAGTTTATTCCCACAGTTACTCACTAACGAATGTCACTCGCTTGGTCCCAACCTCCCCCATGCTGTAGGCAGCCATTTTGGATTCATTATAATGGGACAAGCACCATGTACGTCAATCACTCCTCTTTTAACACATTATTCTGTATCCATGCTCTCTGTCAATGACACAGAGTTACATAACTCGTTGCAAAGGTTCTGGTTGCAGGAAGAACTACATCCATGCAATAAACGGACAGCGGAAGAAGAACTTTGCGACAAACATTTTGACGCCACTCACGCGAGAGATTCAGACGGACGTTACATTGTCAGTCTTCCATTCAAACAGGCTCACCCCCCTCTTGGAGCTTCTAAGCTTGCTGCAGAGCGTAGATTTCGCGCATTGGAACACAAATTCCGAACTCAGCCTAATTTTTCGGAACTTTATCATGAGTTTATGAGTGATTACCTCTTAGCAGGTCACATGGAAAAAGTTTCTACCATTGACTTATCTCAACCTCATTATTTCCTCCCTCACCATGGGGTACTAAAGGTAACTAGCAGTACCACAAAGCTACGCACAGTTTTTGATGCTAGTGCGCAGACTAGCACAGGTATCTCTCTAAATGACGTCCTTCTCACTGGACGAAAACTCCAAACAGACATTTGTGACATTTTACTTAATTTTAGAGTCCATAATGTTGTTTTTACCTGTGACATACGGCAAATGTACCGACAAATTCGAGTCCGCCCAGAAGACCAGAATTTTCAGCTGATCCTATGGCGTGAAGACCCCTCTCACGAGCTTGACATCTACAAGTTGACAACAGTGACCTACGGCTTAAATAGTTTCCCCTATCTTGCCATAAAGACCTTGGGACAACTGGTGAAGGATGAAGGTGAAGCTTTCCCTGACGCAGCCAGAATCATCATCTCTTATTCCTATGTTGATGACATCATCACAGGCTCCGTTGACGAAGAATCAGCCCTCCAACTCCAGGGTCAACTCATCGCCCTTCTGAAGAAAGGTGGATTCGAACTCCGGAAGTGGTCGTCAAATTCTCCTCGCCTACTGGAAGCAGTTCCAGAAGATCATCGTGAGACACCTGTCTTTTTGCAAGATCCAGAGCAACCTCATTACTCCATCTTAGGACTACACTGGTCACCTACTACGGATTCCTTCTCCTATCACTTGGACCTACCCTCCGGCGCTTGTACTAAGCGTCAACTACTCAGCAACATCGCAAGGATTTACGACCCTTGTGGTTTTTTAGCACCCATAACAATGTGGTGCAAATGTTTAATGCAACTCCTGTGGACCCAACAACTGGGATGGGATGAACCCATATCCAGTGACCTCGCCGACAAGTGGCATTCTTTTGTATCAGAATTATCAGAAATTTCTCAGATTAATATACCTCGTGCATTTCATTTTTCTGAATCTCGCAGCATGGAGTTGCATGGGTTCTCAGACGCCTCAGAGCGAGGCTACGCAGCTGTGGTATATACTCGCTGTTTGACCTCTAATAACACAGTCATAGTCAGACAAGTTATTGCTAAAACCCGTGTTGCCCCACTCAAAAAGGTCACTCTCCCCAGACTCGAGCTATGTGCCGCTCATTAATTGGCACAATTAATATCACATTGTTTGTCAATTTTTTCCAAACACTATACATTCTCATCACATAACTTGTGGTGCGATTCAACTGTGACGTTGACATGGCAGCAAACTCCCCCCTATCAATTGAAAACTTACGTTGCCAACCGTATTGCGCAAACTCAGGAATTGGTTCCGGCAAATTGGTGGCGACATATTAGCAGCGCAGATAACCCCGCAGATTGCGCTTCCCGTGGAATACTTCCATCACAACTATCCAAACACACTGTGTGGTTCAACGGTCCATCATGGCTTCAGCTGCCACATGATGATTGGCCGAAACCTAAATTCAGTCCTATTGACCTTGACGAATTAACGGATCTCAAAGCACAACCTCTTAAAGTATTGACTGTTGTAACTCAACCCGAATGGGACCTTCTTAGCAAATTTTCCTCCTGGGACAAACTTGTTCGCGTAATGGCTTACGTCATCCGCTTTGTAAATAATTGCAGACATGTTGATAGATCAAAAGATAGTTTATCCTCCAGTGAACTAAAAGATGCAACTAACTTCATTGTAAAAAATATCCAGCAAACCCACTTCAGTGACGATATTAGTGCCATTAAACAAGGACAATTGTGTTCCCCCAGACTCCGGCGATTGTCTCCTTTTATCGACCTTCACCAATCTGGTCTACTCCGTGTCGGAGGTCGACTCAATCGTGCTCCTATCGACTATGATACCAAGCACCCCCTCCTGTTACCCAAAAATCACCATGTAGTAAATCTCATAATCAACTATTACCATAAGAAACATCTCCATTCCGGTCCTCAGTTGACACAAGCTTTACTTTGCCAACACTTTTGGATCCTCTCTGCCCGAAGTGTGATACGCTCCAATATACTCCGGTGTGTTACATGTTTCAAACACCGCCCAACAAATAAAACTCCTCTCATGGGTGATCTCCCTACTCCTCGTGTCAATCCCTCTCGACCATTTCTTCATACTGGAGTGGATTATGGTGGCCCGTTTAATGTCAAGATTCATAATCTGCGAGGCAACAAGACCATTAAGACATATTTATGTCTCTTTGTCTGTATGGCGACTAAAGCTGTGCATCTCAAGGTCGTCACAGATTTAACCACTGATGCATTTATCGCATCCCTCACCCGATTTGTGTCTCGCCGTGGACTCTGTACAGACATCTACAGTGATTGCGGGACTAACTTTGTTGGCGCTAATCACGTACTAACTCGCATTGTGCAGGATGCAATAAAATCCTCTCAAAGCTCGCAACGACATTTGTGCATTTGCTCTACAAAATTCTATCAACTTTCACTTCAATCCTCCAGCTAGTCCCAATTTTGGTGGACTTTGGGAAGAGGCTATTAAAAGCGCCAAATACCACATAAACCGTGTAATTGGTGAACATATACTCACATTGCCAGAACTCATGACCTTGATCACTCAGGTGGAAGCCATGCTTAACTCACGCCCCCTAACACCTCTCTCTGCGGATCCTTCCGATCTCACCGCCTTGACCCCTGGACACTTCCTCATTGGTGCCCCCCTTGTAGCTGTCCCTGAAGTGGATCTCCAGGATCGATCAACGTATTTGGAAACGATGGCATGCCGAATATTTGCATACGTTGCAACAACGGGGAAAATGGACTACTCCTTCACCAGAGCTAAACCTGGTTGGAGACCTCATCCTACTTCAGGAGCCATCACCCCCCCTTCAGTGGCCCCTGGGACGCATCACCGCAACACATCTCGGAGACGATGGTATAGTGCGTGTAGTGGACGTGCGCACCAACCAGGGTACATACAGAAGACCTGTCTCAAAGGTCTTGTAATATAACATGTCATTCATTCATCATTAACATTAATTTCTCTTTTATTTTGTATATTTTCTCTCACAATGTCTGTTAATGCCCCTGATAATGTGTTATCAGTTATTTAATTTGTTCCCCTTGTTAATGTGTTATTTTATCCAATTTTGTTCAATGTTATATAATATCCCATCACCCCACAGAAACATCATCCTATTTTATGTTACAATATAATATTTATGCAAATTCTCTCCATACCTATTAAGTACTCATCAAAAACCAACAATAATCATTTATTTAGAATAATATACAATTGTAAGAAAATTGCAATATAATAATAACATCTTAAATATAGTATCACTTTTCAAAATTATCCAAAGAAAATCAAAATTACTGTGGCAAGTGTCATTCATGTAAATTAACCAGCTGTACATCACTTCAACAATGGACATGGACTTCCTGAGCTTCTACCATTGCCTCTGCCCAGATCCTGCCAACTCTTCACAGTGTGAATATCATTCTATTGGAAATTGTGTTTAATTTAAACTAAAATTCATAATCCCAAAGTAAAACCTAAAATTTAAATTTCTCATCATCCAAAAGTATTGGACAAGTGCATTGAAAAGTACAAATTTATAAGAAGACAGACACTCCAAATTTGGTAACCATCATCCATCTTATTTAACTAAGGACAAATTTAATCTTCATTGGACATTTAATCAGTATAGCCTACTAGGCCCAATTAACTCAACTCATCAAGATATATATATATTTCAAATTGAACTTTTATTCAAAATTTAGTCTTCAAATTCTATTTTATTTCATTAAATTCAGTGAAACCATTTGGAATCTTTCTTTGGACATTAACATTATTATATTAATAGCATCATGAACCTAGCTTAACTTATTTCAGAACAATAACTAAATTAAATTATTTGCATTTTAAAGAAGCCTAATATATCATTCGAACCGGCACGACCACCCCTCCCTGAGATTAAGAGCTCATATTCAAATAGTAATTAGTACTGTACTTTAGAAGAAACCAACCCAATAAGCCTAGAATAATATCATCCACTTTGGAAACCCCACCATTTTGAAAATTTACCATTGTTAACTTACCCTGTAGCTAATTCAACCAACAACTTATCTAATATTTGTATTTCATTAATAAATTTATATTGTAACTTACCAAATCTATTTATTCTTAGAAGAATTCATAATTATAAGATTAAGACAAATACTTACCTCATTAGACAAAAATAAAACACAAATTAGGAATTATCTTTATTAAGAAAGAAACGACTTTTGAGTTCAATGTGGGCTAACTTAGCCAAAGGAATTTTGTAGGCCTAAGTTAATGAAAAGTCTATAGAAAGCTTTATGGTGTGTAGCAAATTTGGCGACCCAACGTGTCGGCTTTCGAATGATATATTACGGTAGTCATCAAATATTGCAATTTTCGATCTAAGCTAAGTTAACCTTAAGTTGTACTAGATTGTAAGAACCCATAGCCTATTGTACGTCCCGTAATTAATATTCCCAACCCCAATAACAACACAAAGCCGTTATACAAAACACTAATTAATCACGCACAATTCGCATAATTAGTACAATAATTAATCATGGCCGAGAAAGGTTATAATTTAAGACCCAACCGTAAAAATTCTAACCTAAACCCAAATTACGACTACAACAACACTGACAGCGAGAGCGAGATTGAAGAAGAAGGTCGCCATTTTGATGACATCACACGCACGGACACAGATCAAAAAACACATCCACAGCAGACATCAGAACTCACAGAGGAAGAGAGCAACGAGTCCATGGACCAATCAGACAATAGTATTCCCATTCCTACAAGTCTGTTTGCAAATGTTGCCACTGAACTGTCCAGTAAACAAAGTCTGAATGATTCCAAAATGCCAGGTGATAGCCAAGGTCACATTAGCGGATCAATAAAACAGACACCCGCACCCGAACACAACCGATCGTTACCGAATATAGCCGACGCCGACGAACGTAACCTAGACCTAACAACACGGCAACGGAACAACCCTAGTGCAACTGTCGGTGCAACAGCAACTGTCACATCAACACTAATTGCACCATCAGATATTAATACTTTAATTGCCCTCATGACTAAACTAGACACTAAATTGAGCAACAAAATTGACGAATCTCATGCTAAAATTGACAGCAAAATTAACGAATCCCATGCCGAAATTAACAGCAAAATCAACAGCAAACTCAATGAATTAAAAGTTGAACTCACTCAAAGCTTCAATGATAAAATTGATGCTAATAGCCTAGAAATTCAAGCTTGCAGAACCGCGCTAGAAACTCAAATATCAGAAAATCGTGAAAGTCAAAATAAATTCCAGATCGAAATAAACTCAATTAAGATCACTCAGACAACACAAGCTGAGGAAATGATTAAACTCAACGAGAAACTCACACAAAAAATTGATGAATCACAAGATCAAATGAGACAATTCGTCATTGATAATCTTACACAACAACAATCAATATCTGATAATAAAAATCAACAGAGACAAAATGACATCCTATCTGCTGTCAAAACACAATTGGTAATGCATGAACAGAATTTTGACCAAAAAATTGAAGAACTTTCTCAACGAACCAGGCAAGAATCCAAACAGAATTCTAAAGCTAATTTGGCCATCATACAAAACGAAATTCTCCCAAAACTCACCATCCAAAACAAAACTTTAGAATCTCAGCAAGCTGAAATCCAAAGTTTAAATCAAAATCTGACTAAATGTGAACAAGAAGTGGAAACCCTCAAACAGAGCAAAACATTTAAAAACTTCCAAGGCCCAATCAAAATTATATGCAATGGAAATGAAGAGAAAGACCGACAAATACCAAAATTCAACAGCCGAAGTGGCAACCCAAAAGAATATCTTAATAAATTGAAAAGATATTACGACAGAGGACTTGAGCGAAACAGCAATTATGACCCGATTGAATATCTCAAAGACCTGCTAGAAACTTCATTCGAAGGTCCCGCCTCAAGATGGCTACAACTCGTTAAGACCGACTTAAGTTCCTGGGAACAATTTTCCAACGAATTTGAAGCTAAATACTGGTCAAGAGAAGTACAACGCAGCTTAAGAGCCAAAATCGAATCAGAAAAATACCGGTCAAATGGCACACTCAGCCGCAGCGAATACCTTACAGAACGTGTAATTTCACTCCAATCTATGAGCCCTTGCCTAACCGAAGAAGAAATTGTGACACTGATGGCAGAGAGATTTGACTCCATCGTACAAGACTGCATCAATGTACAAAACATCACCACCGTACGTGCATTAGAAAGACTTCTACAACGTGAAGACCTCAAAGACGGACCAAAGAAGACACGCACCAACAACCAGAATCACAACAGCTCATCCAACAACCGACCGACAACTCCAAATCAACAACCACACATTTATCATCAAAACGGCCGCTACGAGAATCAGAGAGCGTACCAACCCAAGATACCTTCATATCACAACAATTCATACAACAACAATCACCAACACAGAAGTTATCCAAACCATCAAAATTACCGTCCTAACCACAATCATCCTATTTACGACCGAAACCATGAAAACAAACCATATCAACGAGACAAATATCCTCCACGTAACGGTGACAACAACCAACGGACCTACAGAAACCACCCAACCCAAGAACAAGCTCAGCTTTGCGCAGTAATAAGACAAAATAACTACGTGCCAAGTGCTCCTCCAAACAACCAATCATCACACAGTTACGAGCCACAAACTCATCCTGCACCAAATATACAGGAAAACGGTTCGGCGCTGTAAGCGACAACCGAGAGGGTCAATTATCATTAGTTAACTCTAAAATTACAGCGCCTATTTATGAAAGTCTCGGTAATGAAATAAATCATCTTCAATCCCAAAGTATAATGTGCGATAAGAACTTCTTATTAGAAAATGATTCAGAAAATAATCAATCTCTAAATTTCACTCAAATAAGTTGCCCAGAAATTAGCATCAAACTTAATAATATTAGAGTAAACGCATTAGTCGACACTGGTTCATCAATAACTTGTATATCAGAATCCTGGTTCAATGAAAACAAATCCAAAATTTCACCATTTGAAGAATTTCCAGTTAATAACACAGTAATCAAAACTGCTACAAATGAGCGATCTAAAAGAGTCTCTCGAATTATTTACGTTCCCACCACAATTGCAGAACACACCTTGCCATTGGAATATCTTATTGTACCAAATCTAATAAAACCTATAATACTAGGAGTAGATGTTTTGTCTAATCTTAAAATGGATCTGAATTTCAACACAAATGAAATAGATATGCAGATAAATAATCACAATGTTACTTTGAAGTTTTGTATGTGCAACCAAGAGGGACAAATATGTCACTTAATAATTAATGATAGCCATAGGCCAAATAATGAATATTTTAATGATGAAACGTTTGATGTATATCACGATGATCCAATATATAATAAATTTAATAGCACAATAAATAACTTCAAAAATAGAAAAACAGATCCAATCGAAGACGAAACATTGACCCAAGAAGAAATAGATAATTCCCTAGCAACAAATACGCACATAACCGCAGAAGAACGTGAAACATTAAGCAGTTTATTAAATAAATATCAGCATATCTTTTCTGATCAGCCAGGAGTATGCAACAAGTATACACATGAGTTACGTGTAGAAAACCCTAAGATTTTTAAAACTACTTCGTACCCTGTCCCGCAGCAATATCAAGACCAAGTTCAAAAGGAAATTGATCGGATGGAAGCATTAAATGTGATAGAGAGAAGCAAAAGTACCTTTATTAATCCAATAATACCTGTTGTCAAAAAGACTGGCGAGATTAGATTGTGCCTCGATGCACGCAGGGCAAATGAAATAATAACTCCCGATTTTGAATGCAATCGAAGTGTAAACGAAATTTTGTGCAAGTGTAAAAGTGCTAAATTTATAAGTAGCATTGACTTAACAGCTTCATACTGGCAG